ACTATTAAAAATTTCTAATATTTTTAATTTTATCAAATTTCACAATTAAGATAATAAAGACTTAAAATTTTAATTAATTATTATTTCATCATTATTCTTATATAAATCTATAATTTACAATTATTTTAATAAATAAATACATAGGTAACTATATTTCTTTTATCATCTGTTCTAGTTTCGATAAAGTACTTTTCTCTTGCTTTTTAGAAATTATACATTTGCCAATTTATTGTTATATACATATATATATATATATATAAATAAAATGATAATATTGAAGGAGAGCTCGTCTTCTCCAATTTTGCTAAAATTTACAATATTATGCATTTTTGTGCATAAAACACGAATCTGTAAATTAAAATTGTTGCTTTCAAAAGTATATAGAGAAAAGTTACACGCACAAAAATACACAATGTTGCAAAATTTCGGCAAAATTATTACCCAAAATTTAAATAAAAATTGATGAGAGACTCACCGATGCGTAGCACCGTAAACCAAGTTGTAAACTGTAAAAATACATAAAGTTATAATAAATTATAATAATATACTAATAGTATAGTATAAAAGTGTATATATATAATATATATAATAGTATAGTGAAATTTAAAATAATTAATATTACCAAAAATAAAAATATTATTTACATTGAATTTAATGGTTAGAAATGGTAATAATAAATAATAAATAAATTACCATGTAGTTGTTCTGCCCTTGCCCGATGCCGCCCTGGACCTCCTCCTCCTCTCGTAGAAGCTTCGAAACACTTGCACTTTGCACTCGCGTTACTTCTTTTCGTTCACGACGCGCGGCGACGCTCGGATTTTAGCTATCACATTTTCGACGTGTTTTGACAAAACGCGAGAATCGCGAGAGCATATTCGCGCACGACCGATGCTCCGTTTTCGCGTCGCCGCTTTATTCAAGGCCTATCGAAGGGCCTCATCGAACGACGAAGACGACTTCCCCGCACTCGGAAATCGCCGATACTCCGAATTGGTCACTACCACACTTCTCGCTCTTTACTAAATATTCCCGACACGACGATTCACGAGAAATTTTGAGAGGGCAACGATATCATTATGGCGGCGCGACCGTAGTCGTGGTCGACCTGCGATTTTTACGAAAATTACGAACTAAATTCGTCTCGCGTACCGATACTTCGACACGATAATGCGGAAATACGACCGGAAACGCGCGCAATCGCCCGCTTAGTATCCGCTCGACAACGTCGAAACACTCGGAAATTTTCGCGTCAAAAGCGCCCGGTAATTCTCGCGATCCGCCCTCGTAAAACTCCGCGCGCGAACTTTTGGCGGGACTCGAGTCGGAGCTGTGACGTCACGCGTCACGTGACAACGTGCTTGCGGGAGAACGAGTGGTTAGGAGCGAGACTCGCGGACGAGATCAATTTCGCATTTGCGATCGCGATCACGAATTCACGATGTCTGTACACGCGACGCGATCAGATATATGATAATTAACGACGTAAAGATACTAATTAATATATACTAATTAATATACAGACGTACTTTCGCGGACCGGCGACGAACGACAAGCGCGCAAATATTGTTCGTGAACAATGCGAAGTTGCACCAGAGAGCAGCATTCTAGATTGTGTTCGGAAATATATTCATCTAGGGAGAAGCACTCGATTTGACCAATCAGAACAAAGGGATTCTCGGTCTCCGATGGTCAATCAAAATTGCGCTTTGACAGGCAGATTTCCGAACGCAACTCTGAAGTCTTTCTTGATGTAATGGGTTATGGTTTTATGGTTTATAGTATATTATTATATAGATTCTAACGGTTTCTGAAATGTTTAAACAAATTGCGGGATTATCTGCTCATGTAAATCATGTCAGATTTTATCGGGTAGGTAAATTATATTCTTCTTTCTTTTTAAATATTACTGTAAAATATTTATGTAAAAAATAATGTCTAATTCTATACTTTAATTATTGATCTATTTAAACTATGAAATAATTATGTATGTATGTTTCTATCACACAGAGAAAAATCATAAAACATTTTGTACAGGTACATTGAAAAAAGCTGCCATGGTATATCCTAAAGTGATTCAATGTCAGGATAGTCAAGCATTTAGTAGTAGCACCACAAAAAAAATGGGATTTATACAGTGCTGTTGCTTAGAACGTCATCCAGTAATAGTACAACCGATGCAAGACATGGAACAAAAATTTTATAATTTATTAAAGAGGATTGAATATGAGAATAGTTTCAAAAGTGATCATGAATTAAGAGTGAGAGAAAGAGGAAAAGCTAAAAAATTCAAGTGAAGATGTAGAAAAGAGAGACATTTTAATACAAACTGCACAGGACTTTGAAGATAGTAGTCAAGAAGAATTGAATAATTTTACATTTGCGCCAATAATTACAAGTATGTGCTTAATATTTTTCTATAATGAAATACAGACAAAATGTGATATAATAAAAAAAATTTGTTCACATATTAAAATGATCTGTATAATATATGAGAAAGAGAGAAGATTCTGCACATATTTGTAAAATTATAAGAAAATTGTATATATGTTATAAAATTTATATCATTATTTTTATTATAGCAAATAATTTATTGTTTTTAGAATTTGATGAACAAAATATAACTCAACTTTAAAATGGAAATTGGACAAAAATCTACTTTATTAATACAACAAAAAGTGGGTAATACATATTATTGGATACCTCCTCAGGTATTCGAAGGAAGGAGAGATATGAGACAAGTATGGTTTAATTTTTCTCTGTAAATAATTGTATACACACACACACACAAATAGATACATTCATAGATACATACATACATACAATAAAATTGCCAAAGATAAAAAGTTTGATATCATTTGATAACTTATTTTTTGCAGACTGCAGAAAGAGTATTACAAGATATATGTGTACAGAATAAAAGCCAAGTTTTATGGCAATGCACCTATTGGATTTTATAAATACAAATATCCAAGAAATTTAATGAGCAAGGAATTTATGGTGCTAAAATATTTTATTTTTTAGCAAAATATATAGATGGAAATGTTGTTAGTAATGTAAATATCAATGGTTTAGATGATACAGAATTCAAAAAAGTTTTACCCCTTGGAATGCAAAAAAGTATCTCACAATTTATGTTGTTTACTTAAATAATAATATAATAAAATTAAATTAAAGCACGCTCGTTTATTTTGACTTTCCTTATTACCAACTTGGATTGATTCAGAAAACAAATATCAGTTAGTTTTTATAAACTTTATTATTTATAATTAACTACGAAGAGAAATTATTTTAAAAATACTTTATATTTTAGTATACCTTAAAATCGTCCAGATCTTTTTTCGTCCAGTATATTTAGTATTAACTCTCACTTCGTTTCCTTGTCGTCGCCTCCTTTCTTTTTTTTCTATTATCCAGTCTCTACTTTTCTTTCAATGGTTTACCTCTGGCATTTTTAATATATTCCCTGTAATACAAAATTAATACGATTATCAATATTTTATATATTGTAAGATAAAATAGATAAAAAGAAGCATACAATTAATGCAGCTTAAATTGCAAATTACAAGTTAACAGATGACAAAAATGTAAAAATCGAACCTTTTCGAGTTAGCGACGGTTTGTCTATCTTCAGTCTCTGTACCTAGTGCTTTTGGAAGTGGAACAGCTCCTCCAGTCATTAAAACTAAGAACATTTTCTTCGCTTTTGTACTATTTGGGTAATCGACAACCACACCACCAAAAAAGCCAGCTTTTGTAGCTTGTGCAGTAATTAATTCAACTTGTTCACTGTTCTCTGGATAGAACTGTAATACTGCTCTGGCGCTTCTTGACAGACATGCATATAACGTCGAAAGAAACGATACAAACGCTTTGTAGGATTGTGCGAAGCCTTATTTGCATAGCATAACCACTGCAATGCAGAAATATGACAGCACCGTCAAATGCACCAGCCTTAAATGGCAATCCTTGACCCATATCTCCTAGGATCAAATCGCCATTCGTTTCTCTATCTTAGCTACCTCTGCAAAATAACACATCAATTATATACCTTTACATTATACAAAGAAACTAAAAACATAACTTAAAAAATAATTGATAGAAGTAGTAGAATAGTAAATATAAAAAACGTTAATGAACTAAGTTTGTAAAAGATAACTATATTGCATAATAATGAAAATATTACCAAGCATAGATGAAGAGATATCAACACCAATCCATAAGTGTCCCTGATCTTCCAATACGCTACCACTAAGACCTGATCCGCAACCAATATCCAAAAGTAAACAGCATTGATCTTCAGGTAAAACAAGAAGTTCTATAGCACGTTCACACATTTGTACTTGGATATCTATCATACGGGAGCTGAAATGTACAGATTTTATATTTGTAGAAATAATGTACAATAGATATATGTAATACAAATTTTATATAATAACATACCTTTGTGTATACTTCTTTGCTTCTGTTTCATTATAATACTAACATGTAAAGAAAAAAATATGTAATTAATTTTTGAATAGACTCATCAACATAATTATTATTGGTAATTATATTTAATCAAAGAGAACATACACAAGTATTAATAAATTAATATTTACAACTTACCACCTCAGGTGGTGCCATAAGTTCTGGACGCTTAGACATAATGTCAAATTTATTTTATGTTTATTTCCTCCAATATATAGTTTACGATAAAAATATTTTTAATAAACACACGTGTTAGACAAACCTAACCTAAATAAAAATGCCGAAAAACTTAATATTGCCAACCAATCATGTAACTGCATGTAAATTAGACACTTGTGATTGGTCCTTTCTTTATGTTCCAATATCGATTCGCAAAGTCGATATATCGCAAATTGTACGCGCTCCATATATGAATTGGAGTAAATCAAGTTGAATCAATTTATAAAACAAGTCATGCATGACTAAAAAAAGAAAGGCTCTAAGAAAATAAAAGGTGTGCTTTTTTTCAATTCTTTACATAACTTCAGGTGCACAAAGTCCTTGAAACATAAAGAGAAGAGAGTCATTACTTTATTCTATACTATGTACAGTAGTTATATATATATTTACGAAGTCAAAAATTATATATATATCAGATACTTACTGTATATATAAATAACTTAAATACATCAAGATTTTTGCACATCTCCACACATACACATATTACACATACTATAAATATTTGTATAAATTTAAATCTATATATATGTATATATATATATATATATATTACGAAAAATATGTCTATCAAAATGTATCTGCGTTCGTGCACTTTAACCCATTTTTTTCTTAATAATAACTTATACAGTATCTCTTTTCCCTGTTTTGAGTTTTAATAATCAATCAACAAACATTGAAGAACTTCTTTATCTTCTTGCACAGTTTCCAAGTATAACATATAGTTTTATACACACACAAATACTTCAAGCATAAAATTCACACTTGATGATAGATATAATACAAATATAATTAAAGGACATCATTTTATTGTGTATCAGTTTAAAGGTTCATTTCAGCCATAAATATTATTTATATGATATACAAATACACAATAGACACACGGCAGTCTATTCTTTCAAAGTCCATTTATATAATATTTACAAGATTTTAATAACTAGTTTTCGGAAATTCGAGAGGATTTTGCAGTAATGTAAGCTGCATCCCAAATACATGAGCAAATAAAGTTAATGTTAATACAGTCAAAAAATTGATTATAAAATGATTTCTAGGTGCTTAAGTGCTTATACAATTTCCTTTTATTTGCTCAAATTTTCGAAAACTATTACTAACACTTTTTGCAAATTTACGTTTAATGACGACAATAGAGTATGATATCGCATTATTTTTAATTATTTTTTGTAAAGACACGATACAAAAGTTCTCACAATGTAACATTTCAATTTAATATCTGGCATCGATAAGTGCATGGAAGTTTACACGATAATAAGTGTTTACAAAGAATTTTATTGACAAATGTAAAAAAAATCTTCCATATAAGAGTTGATCATTGTCTTTTATCAACAAGAATGTAAAAGTATAAAAAAGAAAAAATATTGCTAGAGCCTATAAAAGCTCTATGAAAGGAGTTTAGAGAGGTAATCGATTTACAAAACTTCGATTTTAAATCAGGAAATCTGGTCTTTATTTCCAAAAATATGTCGCCCTCATCTGGACTGTCCAAAACTGCCTGCAAATACAAATAAAAGAAAACTGTGAGAACTTTTTCAGCACATAAACCACAAAACTTATTCCCAACACAGAGTCCTTTTCGAAATTTGGAAATCTCACTTGCACACAGTTTATTCAAGATTTTCATTGTAGAATTGAATAAAATTTGATAAAATAAAAATCATAACAGCAAAGATTACACTCTCTTAAAAGATCAAATACTTTATTTAATATGAATAAGGTGTGTATGTGTGTGTATGCCTCGGATTTTAGATATACAAAAATTTATGTTGCCTAAATTTGAATATATGTCTTCTTCGACAACGCTTGTGATTAAAATATCCCCTCCAATATCCAACTAAACCTCTACCTAGACAAACAAGTTGTAATCGCGGTGATAGAAGCATCAAATATGAGCTATTAAACACAATAGACTTAATCACCCAGTTAGAAATATCTTGGAGGAAAATAGACGAGATAAGAAGTCTTAAAAAATAAGACTTCAAGATTTCTACAATGACCATTTGGCTTGCAATGGGATAAGAGTACGAACGCATGCTGGGTAATATAAAACCTGTTGCAATAATAGCGATAAAATATAATCCAACTGTATAGTGCTGCATTTTTCGCATTTTAATTCTAATTTCCACCCTAGGGTGTGATATTTTAATCATGGTAATATAGTATTACTATATTATTGTTAGAAATTAAAATAAAAATAATCTTGATAGCAATCAGTATCAATAATATATCAATAATATACCAATGATAGTAATATAATATTTATAGTAATATTACTATTGCGGTAACGATAGAGATAATAATAGTAGTAATAATAGCAGCAGCGATATCGATAGCAACAGTAGTGCTAATTACACTAATATAATAATAGTAGTACTACTAACTCCTCTAGCGCAACAGATAACTATTTCTGTAATCTACTATTATAATTCAAAATGAATATGAAAACGTTGGAATATTTTGGTTTAGATCGCGTTTACATAAGCGATATAGTTCACCAACTCACTCAATATATACTCACACACCATGAGAGATCGATCAGCTGAGAGCTTCTGTCACTTACTTTTTATTATTATTTTTTTATTATAATGGATTATAGCCAATAGTCGGACTTAGATCAAATCAGCGACATTCATTGGCATTTCATCAATATGCGTATTATAGAATTGCTCGATATCCTTCAAGGTTCGTTTATCTTCTTCTGTCACGAAGTTAATAGCCACACCTTTACGACCAAAACGACCGCCACGACCGATTCTGTAAAAATAAAGAAAAATATATAATTTTATATATATAAAATTTGCAAATATATAACAAAAATTACATTTGCAATATTATGAAATTCTGATATTGTGTGGATATAAAATATAAAAGTATATAAAAGTTCTCAATAAATTATATCTTTTTATGTAAAAAGTATTTGCAAATCGAATTTAAGAAAATAAAATTGGAATATAGTACTAGATCTTCTCGAAATCAGCTGATTATTGATTGATGACTATTTTAAATTTTAAAAAATTACATATCTAAATATAAAATTTAGATAAATATAAATAAATAATATTTAGATATCTTTATATTTTATTTTCAAGTTCTTGCTACTTTTTTCTATAATTAAAAGTTTTTAATTTTCTGCTTACAAAATAAGTTACAAACATTAATTTAAAGATCATAAAATTAAAAACTAATTTAATTAAACTTACCTATGGATGTAATTCTCTCGATTGGAAGGTAAATCATAGTTAATGACAAGCGAGACTTGTTGTACATCAATACCGCGAGCCAGAAGATCGGTAGTAATCAAAACTCTGGATGATCCAGTTCGGAATTGTCTCATGATAAGATCGCGCTCTTTCTGTTCCATATCTCCATGCATAGCCGAAACAGTAAAGTCACGTTTATGCATGCTCTCTGTTAACCAATCTACTTTACGCCGTGTATTGCAGAAAATAACAGCCTGCGTGATACTCAATGTGTCATACAGATCACAAAGAGTCTCTAGTTTCCAGTCCTCGCGTTCGACGTACACGAAAAATTGTTTAATACCCTCTAATGTTAATTCTTCTTTCTTAACCAAAATACGAATGGGATTTCGCATGAAGCATTTTGATACATCCAATACGTCAGATGGCATTGTTGCAGACAATAATATAACCTGGAAAAGACAATTAAGAATTGCATTAGAAATACAAAGACTAAACTCTTTCATAAGAAACCATGTATCGATACAATGTGATGATCAATATTTTATACATTTGATGAAAGAAATAAACCGCATATATTGAGATGTTATATATAAATAACTATACATATGTGCAATATGATGGCATCATGCTGCAATAGGTAAATCGTAAATTTTTGCTGCTATTACAGAGATATTAAGAGTGACTAATTGATTTTTAGGACATTATGATTATTATTAGGAGTGCTATGCCATAATAACTGTTTGCATTTAGGCCACTATTATTTTCATACAAAAGAACACATTTGATGGTAAACAGCGTATGTCAAACCTATAGTGTACATTTGTCAAAAAATGACACTATTACGACGCACCTGTATTTTATAATATATTTGTTAACTCGACTATTATAAGGTATACTGCAACTTTTTCGTCTTGTATGATTTGTGGACTTGTCCAAAAAGATATTTTCTAATAATTAAAATAAAATTATCTATTAGATGGCAATTGTAATTAAAAATCTACAATGGTCAAAAATATTTTATATCTCTTTACCTGCACTTCATTGGGTAGTAATTTGAATACATCGTGAATTTGATCCTTAAATCCTCGGGAAAGCATTTCATCAGCTTCATCCAGAACGAACAGTTTGATGCTATTTGCCCGAAGAGCTCGTCGACTGATCATATCGTAAACTCTACCGGGCGTACCGACGACCACGTGAACACCCTGATCCAATTTTCGCATATCCTCACGTACATTGGTACCACCAATGCATGCGTGACACTCGGCGTGCATGAAATCTCCTAGAGCGATAACAACTTTCTGGATCTGAAAAACAAAGATAAGAAAACATTATATTAACATTTTGTTGTAATAAAAAGTAATATTTTTGTTGAAGCAATCATCTCATCTGATGAAATACTTACTTGTTGAGCTAACTCACGGGTTGGTGCAAGGATCAAGGCCTGGCATTCTTTAATATTAGTATCAATTTGTTGAAGAATTGATATCGAGAAAGTAGCAGTTTTCCCAGTACCTGTGAACAATTAAAAATATACATTTGTTAGTATAAAATGTACAATAAAAATTACACATAAATATTAATTTTTTTCAATTATTAATTTATTTTATTTTGCACTAAAATTCCTTACCAGACTGAGCCTGAGCAATAACGTCGAGCCCCCTTATACATGGTAGGATGGCACGTTGTTGGATCGCAGATGGTTTTTCAAAGCCATAAGCATATATACCACGCAATAGTTCTTCTTTCAAATTCATTTCATCGAAGTTTTCCACAACCTGTTTAAATTAAAGCATAATATTACGGCAACTTATAATATTTCTAATATATTATACATAGTGTTATGATAATGTAATAACTTTATAAAAGTTCATAAAATATAATTATAACTATAATTATTGTATAAATGCCAAAAAAATTCCATTTTATAAGAATTTTTACCAAGTATATATAGAAAAATTTTTGGAAAAATTATTTAAAAATTACTTAATAATTATTTAATAATTATTTTAAAATTCTTTAAAATCTGAAAGTTGCACTAGTATAATTAATTTGATAAAAAAAGTCAATATAACATTTTTAAAAAGTTTCTTTAATAAAATGTGATTGTCTCAATTATAGTTTTACTCATATATAACATGTAATAAATTTGTTGAAACATTCTAGAAACTTTTGGAAGATTAAGATTTTCAAAATACATTGAAATATATAAAAAGATAAATAATTGCTATTATTATTTGAATATTCAATTATCTCGAATATTAGTTGCTTTCCATTTACATCAAAACTCAGATAAATCTAACTTTTGTCTTTCTTTAACAGTGAGCTTTGATGTAAGTGAAAAGCGACAATTATTAAAATTGATTTTAAAACATAGTATTAGATATACATCAGAAATTTTATTTTAAAAATAATATAAAATGAAATAGTATAACATATTTGAATATAGAATTAATACAGTGCAATGCTATCATTATTAGAAATTTTTTTACTTGTGCAATCAAATTGATAAGAGTATTTAAATTTTGATAAATATTGAATAACTAATAAATTATTTTTACTAATGATGTCATATAATAAACATACATACATGTGTGTGTGTGTGTGTGTGTATAACATTTTCAAGTACAGAAACTATATAAAACTAAATTATCAAAGTTGATAAATCTAAACCATCAGAGTTTATTGATAAATCTAAATCCTCAAAGTTTGAATAGGAAATAATATATTGCTTCTTTCATCAAACATGTAAGCAGTACAATGTTATCTAAAATATTGTAATATAAAATAACAAACAATGTACTCACAACATCCCAGTTGGACTCGATGATGCCATCAGGATCCATTCCTGGTGGTCCATCATATGTAGGTTGCTCACTTTCGCTAGGACCATTTTTTGAATCTCCTGGCCATTGATCATCATTTCTAAAATATATAAAATATTAATTAGAAATCTCAATTATAAATTAAATATATTGAATCTTATAATATTAGCTATAAAGATAGATATTGGATCTTTAAACCTTTGCAAAGCTAAATTTCAAAAAATATTTAACATATCTGTATAATATACATATATAGAATTTCAATTATCTTTTCTTTTATTTATTGCGCAATATTATTTAAAAAAAAATATATATAAATAATCTCGAAAAACTATCACAAAACAAGCAGATAAATAGATAAATATGTATGAAGCTTATTTTCTTATTCTCTAAGCGAGAGTATGATCAAAAACTTGTCAAATAATGCAATAAAAATCGATACATATATCTAGCATTTTGCATCGATGAAAAATTGATATCACAATTACGGCGATCATGACAATGACAAATCACTTTAAATCCATGTGACCTTGAAAACCGAACTTTTTAAATCGATCCTGCTGAAATATGCATCTGTCGAAATTTCACGATGGCCATTTTTACATTTGCACGCGGTAATACATAAGGGGGAAAGAATAGAAATAAAGGTCTCGCGGTCGCGGTAAAAAGAATTCATCCCTACGAGGCAGTGAAATGACGCGAATGAAATTCCACGAAATGCTTTGACAGTGACTCACGCGTGCTCGCGCGGAAACGCGTCGACAAGGAGCGGAGACGTGTTGCTTCGCGCGAGCAAACGGGAAAAACGTGCGTTTTAAAGCGACATCGCGCACGGGTCAGCGCGACAGGATCGGGATTCTCGGGAAAACGGCGATTGATCTTTTTTCTATTTTTTTTTTTATTTTCGGCGCGAAAAAAATCCGCGAACGCACCATTACGTAATTTTCGCGGACAGGAAAAAACGTGGTGGTCGTCGAACGAGCCGGACGCGAGGAGGCCGAGCCTCCTTCACCCACGCTCTAACGGGGCCGAGACGTCGCGAGAAAAGGGACGAATGCCTGCACCGAGAGCCTGAAATTCGCGCGATCCTCGGCCGCGGCAAAGAAAGGTTAAGCGGCGAAGCCCGGGGACCGCGGCGACCGCGAGGCCCGGTCTCTTCCCCTCGTCGTCCCCGCGGTCGATCCTCTGACGAGTGTCGGCAATGTGATAAAAACGAGCGCACGCCATGTTGTCAGTCTCGTGCGCCCCATGCACACCGTCCTCGATCGCGGCACACTATCCTTCCCGGACGTATATTAAATCCGCGCGCGCGCCAATTTCGCGATCGCGAGAATCCGCGACGACGTGGACGTCCCGGGTGACGTCGAGCGGGCGAAAACGCGCGACCGGTAGGCGATTACGCTGAAAATCCCCTCGACTTACCTTCGTTCTGCTGTATGCGACATGTTCCACTCACAAGAGTTCGACAGAAAGGAAGAATCTGAATGGCGTCACGAGATGTAGTCCCACTTCCGCCGCGACGCGGCGCTGCGCTCGCTCTCCGGCCGGAGACCGGATTTTCGACCGGCCACCTTCCACGCGTGCGCGCGCAACCCTGTCGCGCGCGCTTTTGTAACGGCGATGCCGATTGCTTCGCGCTTCGCAAGCTGATTTGACGATTTTTCCTTCGTCGTCAACGATTTTTCCAAGCTACATCTCGCACGTCGACCGGGCGTCGCGCATGACGGAAATGACGCGACATTCATCGCGCCGTAGTGGGAGTTCTATGGCGGCAAATATGAAAAATGTATGTCGCGAGACACTTATATACGTAAATGGATTATGTATTCTTCTGCTTTATTTTTTATAGTTAATTTGTATTATGAGCAAACTCGTAAACGGCTAATATTTTTAATAAAAGTATAATGAGAATTTATTACCTTGATTCTTTAAATATATTTATTTTGTGCTGCACATTTTTCATTTTAATTAGTTTTTTGAGAGAAATTTTTATAATTAGAATTATTACTAGTTGGGATATTTTTATAATAATTTGTTATAGTTATTTGTTTTTTTTAGAAAAACATTCTTTATATTTAAATTCATATTTAAATTCAGTATGGATTATTATTGTATAATGAGATAAAGAATTTGAATTTAATTAACTTCAAAGATTTTATTATTTTATTAGGTCATGTTTATTTATTTATAATTATATTATTAAATTTGACAATATATTTAGATTTTTAACACATTTATTTAAGTAGTTTAAAATATATTAAAGTTATAAAAATGTGTCTATCAAAAATATATATAAATGTGTCAATGGATGTTCTAATACAAGATTATAATTACACATTTAATTATAATTAAAAAAATATTTTATTGACTCTCTCTCAGTTTATATACACAAATTGTACACAGCTTTCTATTGAATTTGTACTGTAATATATACAATATAATCTATTATTCTATATTCGTATACATCTCATATAAAAATATACATTTCTAATAGTGTTTCTTACAATATATTTTTAATTATGCTCAATTTATATAAAGTAAAGAAAAACTTTCGAGTATATATTTTAATCTCATATTGTGTATAGCAAAACTATCAAATCTCTTTTTGTATGATGAGCTTTTTTTCAAATTATAAATATTTAAGTGTTATATAAAATGTTTCCATTGAGAAAATGTCAAAGAAAATTCTTTTCAATTTATAATATTGTATACTTTTGCATTAAAGCGCTTCAAAAATTATAATTTCATTGAAATAAGGTCATAATTTAAAAATTGTTAAAAAATAGAATTTGATTACTTATTTTCTTTCCTAAGATACTAATCCTAAAGGCACTTATTTTTTACTAGACAGTCTTGAAATAATCTATACGTTTTACATAAGTTGTTTAAATCACTAGCATACATATTTATATAGTGATGCAAAGTAATTTATAAACAGTAAAAACATTAATTTTTTAAATCAGTACGAGTTTTAAAATTGTTAACCTTAAGTAACTCCTAAATTACCTTTAAAACAATTCTAACTAAGTTGTTATATCTGATGAATAATATAATTATATAATATAATTTTTTATTTTTTATATATATTTTAATTTTTTATATATTATATATTATATCATTTTTTCCATTTTCAAATTTTCAATTAATTCCTATTTAAATTTATGCTTACAAAATAATTTGATTTATAAGAAAATGTATTAAAAATAACTTATGAGAAATTCCTAATTGTTATGAAAGAATCCTATTTTTTATTTATACTTTCTACAGTATAAATTCTTCAAAATTCGAGATCCAGTCAAATTCATATAAAGGCACAACTAAGAATAAAAAGTAATGTTATAATTGGAAAAATTATATACGCACCCATCCGTGGCTGACAAGTAGAAATTAAAACGTTAACGTCGTCTATCTCATTATGTTCTATACCATCTTTGGTAGGAATTTCAACGATTATTCTATCTGCTGACAGTACATTTAACGAAAATGAGCATTCAGTCATATTTATACATGATTTAGTCACATTTTCATATTGAAAAGTTGGCTTATATATATCAAAGATTGCATAAATATCATTGGATACAATATCGTTATCGCTATAAAAAATGTAATAATAGTAACCATCTTCTTCGACATTATGATAGCTTGCGCGTGTTTTCCATTGAGTAAATAAAAAATATTTGTACATTGGTTTGAAGGTTCAAATTCATGAGTTAACAATATCATTCCACCATAACACTCAAATAAGCCATTCTCGAAACTGGAAATAGATGAAGCTTCATTAGAATTAGATGTAAAATTTTTATCAGCATTTCCACCATGTCTGATGCCTTGATCTAATAAAGATGGTGGCTTTATAAATTCTTGATTTCTTTTAAATCTTTTGTTGCCCATCTTATCTTTCAACTTTATTTCTGGTCCAATTGTATTTTTTTCATCAATTTTATCAAAATACAAATCTTGTTTTAATTTTTGTAGCCGCAATTTTCTGTCTTGATCCTGTACATATTTTTTCCTCTGTTTTATTTTTTTATTTGTTTCCTTCATATTCACGTCCTTCCAGTTCTTATGCTTAAGTTGTCTTAATTTTCTGATGTAATCCATGTCTTTTCTTGTTCTATATGTTTCTGGATATAAGATGTGACATTATTATACCACATATCTAGATCTTGTATCAAACTTTCATCATTCTTATATGGCAGTGTGTTATTATGTGTGTTATTATGTGTATTATTATATGTATTAGTATTTGTAGCATTTATAAAAACTTTCTCATTTCTATTCACAGATTTTCAGAACTTGCATGTACAAATGGTGTATGTATATTGGTAGTGTTATATATATAATAGGCTCGACCATATTTGATTCTTTAGAATCAATTTCTTGTGCATTTGATTCATATATTATTTTAACCTGTTTGTTTGCACCTGGTAAGTAAATATCTTGTGGTTGCTTATTGATAGTATGGTCTAATAACCGCAAGTACGTAAATTCCTTTCCCCTTTTACCACCATTATAGAGGCTCCTGGAAATCTAAATAAATATTTTTATTAATATACATTGTGTTCATACAAATAAATAAAATTAGAGAAATTATATCTGTAGATCGCATCTTTAATTATTACACACAAATATGATAATTATATTATTATTTTCATTCTTTTTTACCTTGAGCATACAGAGAGTGATACTGTTGCACCTCTCAGTAAGTAAAATCCCCAATATTCTAATGTATCATCAGGTAAACTCATACTCTTTTTTAGCCTTATATGTTGTCGTTTAGATGTTATTTCTGGTCGATGAGCCATTTGAAAGGCATTAAAAGTACCATTCATTTTAAAGAGTGTCCCTGAGAAAAAAACGATGTTTCTTAGTTATATGTATATTGTATCTTATTATATATTGTTATAGACGCAATACATATTATCCATACAATCTTATTTATACATACGGCTTACATTCTTTTATCAGTTATCATATACAATAAATATATAATTGAAAACCTTTTAATATATTTTATATATTTAATTTAATATATTTTATATTAAATTTTAATAATGACAATATAAATCATAAAAATAATGACATTCATAAAATATTAATCATTTATTCTTACCGAACAAAATATTGTAGAAATTCCATCATTGACCTCCATAATATCAGATTCTGTTAGCATATGCAACTTCTGCATAGGAAATATGTCGCAGATATAGAGGAATTATTATAAATATGACTGGTAAAACAGCTACTAATATGCAGAAAACTAGTATTCTTTGGATGCCATGCATTTTTGGTACTCCTATGAATGTTAAATAAATTGATTATATTATTACTGTTATTAGTTGAAACATAATAAAACAGAATAATTAGTTGAATTATAATAAATTATTTATATATGCAAATATAATATACATGTTTTATCAAAGCTAATGTTATATAATATGCTACAGAATATATACTCAATTAATTTTAAATACATGAAATACTGATGTTATTGAATATTATATTCAAAAGTAGAAAGTATAAGAAAGCATTTACATTAATAAGTAACTAAAAAGCGATTTAAAAATAAGTAAATAATATATATAACAT